CCCCCCCCTTCCTTTTAAGACCATTAATCAAAAGGGTTGTAAGAATTCCCCTAAAAATATTGCTCTCCCCACCCCCATCTCTGCCCTAAATATTTTAACTGAGAAATTCAGAAATGGATTGAATGATTTGGAAGGCTTAGTCAACACAAGGAAAAACACAGGGAGAAAAACCTCTTCGCTGAGCTATACTAGTATGGCCAGCTGTGTCTTACAGGAACAATCCAAAGGAGAGGCAAAGTCTGCAGGGTAATTAAACCTTGGATTGCTCTTAAGCTATCTAAAAAAAAGATGGCAATTACCCTCCAACACATGATGGTTCTGTGACATCAACATTTGTTTGGCAAAAATTGGGCTCACGATGCTTTACTTTTCTTTTGCAATTCACATTTCAGGTAGAGCCTTTCAAAAGTGCTATTCCTTGCAGATAAGGGCTTTGATAAGCTGCACTCCCTGACAAGACTGCTGCCACACAACTCTCACCCCTGGGGTGGCTGTGGCATCAGATGATATCTGCTGGCAAAAAGACCTCAACTATAAGAGAAACAAAAGGGAACAGGGCGGTGGAGAAATGAAGGAATACTGAAGGAGTCCAAAGGCACACCTATTATACAGCTCCTGAATTAGGCTGGCACTTGACACAATACATCAGGCTCTCACACATACGTTCTGTGAAACAAAATCTTCACAAGACAAAGTCAAATCTGCACAACAGATGTAAAACTGCACAGACTTCATGGGGCTTCAGAGAAATAGAAGCCAAGAAGGGACATTACTATGACTGGGAACAGGAAACTTGCTAAGATCCTCAAAGGTAAAGAACTGAGAACATCACAATTTCTACAAGAAGGGAACAAAGGGGACAAAAGAAAAGGGAACCCCAAAAAAGCTGAAAAAGTGGGAAGGGCTAACTCCAGAAATATTCCTACCCTGACAGATCCCTTATCCAACCACTAGCCCCCTTTCTGAAAGGAGGGTAATATTTTTCTGTTCCACAGGTAGAAAGATACATATTTAAAGCTGCACAGTGCTACACTTAGATCAATCAGTACCTTATCTAGGCCATGCACATCCTTCAGCCACTGTGCTTTATTTCAATCTGGAAATAAGGTATAAGAAAAGCAGCACAGACATTTTTATTTTTTAGCTATGTAGAGCACAGTAATTCACCTACTGATACTGCTATTAACCAGGTATGGTAATGAACAAATTATTACAAGGCAAAAGCCTCATTAAACAACTTTTTGAAATAGATTTTGACATATCTGAAACCCTGAAGTACACTGTGAGTGCACATACATACACATGTCCTGAATTAAATAATGGTGGCAGTAATTATCAGCAATTGCAAAACAGACTGCTCAGCATTTGTATCGTGTAAGATCTGCCAACGTTTCCTCTCCATCAGGCACTACTTGTAGTGTGTCCATTTTTCTTGTTATTGATTTTGTACTGAAGAAACTTGTCAAAAAAGAGCAGCTGATAGCGTGCAGCAGATCTCTTTAACCAGAACAGAGGCCTTTGGTGCGAGGCGCTACGGCGTGCACAGCTCTGTCCAGGAACAGCGACACGCCTCTGCTCTTTACAGAAGAGATACCAGCCACAGCGTTTGCTGCACAGCCAGTACTCGGCAGAAAGTAAACAGTGATTCAGCCAAATAAGGAAAACAAGAGTCAGTTCTTAAGGACAAGTATGAAAGTCCAGCTCAATATTTAACAGTTTAATAAGGGCAGACTAAGCTTAATTTGGTAGCCTGTAAAGCCTAGGTATGAATGCTTGAACAACATTTAGCTCAGGGACTGTTTAGATTTGAAGGATGCTTATTTCTACTAAAATACATGATGTTCTTCCCTACCTATTTTCAGAGAAACTAATACCAAGCTTATCCCATTAAATCAACTGTGTTGAACTCAAACACAGTGGCAAGGTGAGTCTGTACATGTCCATGGTTACTTGTATCTTCCACCTTCAAATGAGCATGCAGATTTGGAAGAGTGGTTACCACTCTAAAATGGCTACTTGAGATTCCAATTAGAAACTTACTTTTATGTTCAAACACCTATTTAATAACAACCACACATCTCCAGTTCAGCCTACCTGTAGGCTCTCCTTCCTAAATCAGTACAGCCAGACAAGTTAACTGTTCAACTTCAAAAAGAGAGAGTATTCTCACAAGAAAAGCTAATTCTTTTCCAAATAAGAGCAAGATGCCTCAGAGAACAAGAGTGTAGGTAAGGCACAGCCCCAGTCTCCAAGTGCTAGTACGTATCACAGACAGCACAAACCAAAGCTCTACTGCTCCAGGGCCTGCCTGTGAGGTGTGTCAGGAACATAAAGTCCAATTAAACAGGTGCTCACTCATGTTACAGAAACAGAATCAATCTATGGTTAGCAAAATAAAACCTTAGCTGTTTGTATGATATGCAATGATTCTTTAGCACTGCAGAGCACATACATTTTGGTGCTCTCAAAGAACTGAGAATCCAATTCCATTCTAATTTCTTTACAGTTTATAAAACTAATACTCTGCATAACAACACATTTATTTGACTTCTCAGTCTTAAATTGTCTGGCCTAAATTTTTGCTGAATTTGCTACCTTGCAGCTGCTCCTTCATTTTGTGTAACACTAAAGACACTGTTTTGCATGCTACATTTTATTACTTGACTGAAAGATATTCTGACTACCAATAATCACCCCCCCCAGGTATTATTTTTAAAGTAATTTAGATTTATAATTACTAAATTTTGAATCTCAATTTAGAATTTTTAAAATGTATTTTTAAAAAATAATGTAGAAATTCATTGCTACACTTACTTTTTGCTTGCTTCATAAACATCCGTGATATTGGAGAAAAGGTGATGACTCTCCGTTTTGGTCATTGTGAGGCTCAGTTCCCTGGAATTTTTAAACATCCGGATCAGAATCTCCAAGCTCAGCAAGTAAGAATGCTCAGAAGATATCACTTCAAATATTGCCTGCAAAGTGGAGGGGGGAAAGAAAAGATTTACTGCTGACTAGGTGTTTTGTGTTGGGTTTTTTTGCATGGAGGAGGGGTGCAAAGAAAAGTTATTGGATGTAAACTGGAGGTTGTAACATAAATATTCATTTCCATGATAGTCGCATCATTTACTTAGAAATAAGTGATTTAATACTAGGAAAAAAGACTTCAAAAAGTCTATATTCAGACTCTTCAATGCAACTGCAAACAGTTTGAAGATAAAAACCACCAACTGTGATCACTGTTCCTGTGGTCCAGTTGGAAGCTTCCTATCAGTCATGCCACTGCTGACCAGACAGCATTTACTTTTGCTTTTTTTAAACAGAAGCTGCAAAGTCATTTTTACCCAAAATTATTCTTACCCTTCTAAAAGTCGTCTTCAAAGAACTGAGGTTTTAGTAATGAAATAACAAGTTTTGGATTTCTCAGAACAAACCAAAACAAAAAAAATATCTGCTTTAGCTGAAGCATTAAAGGTTTATGCAGTGCAAAGACAACTGCACCCCACAGAAAACCTACGGGGCCATTACACATACAAGGAAAGGAAGTCTAATGTACTCATCAGTGGTCTCCATCTTATTACCTACCTCCTGGGGAGAGAGCGAGCAGCAGGGAGGTAACAGCTACAACATACAACATCTTATTTGCAGGAGTCAATACTGCTGTGCAAGAAGATACTCAAAGGTGGTACTTAATGTTAAATTGCCTGCCAACTCTTCAGCCTTGGGAATCCAGAGAACATATACACACGTCAGCCAAACTCTGACAGCAAATCTACCGACTGCCTGGCTAACACAGTGCAGAAAGGTGCCTAAAAAGGGCATTTTGGCCTTTGCCCAGCAGTCACATTTCCACTGTTCAGTCTCACTGTACCCCTCCCAGCTGTGCTCACAAAGGAAGGATGTACCTAACGATTGCTGTATGGCTCCACGGCTAATTGACATTCGTCAACACAGGAAAATACATAAGCTCTCTTATTATTATTGTTTTGGAGGGGTTTTGTTTGTGCTTTTACTGAGGACCCTCATGGACTTCTTTCAGTTTGGTAACAGAAGGTCATTAGCACAGTCAGAAATAAATGGGACAAAGAAAGATACTCTGCTTCTAACTTGCGAGGAAGGGAGAAAAGATCGTCTCACCATGACCCAAACACATTCTGAAGAATAAAAAGAAAGGGTTAAAAAACAATCCTGACTTTGACATACAGTACCTACACCACATTCAGAGCCTGGGGTGGCATTTCCCAGGTACTTGCTAACAGCATTTCGGAAGGACAGCTGGAGCCGTTCGTCTGCACGGTATCGAGCTAAGCAGATGTTCGAACCCCGATGGACACTGAACACTCCTCAGAGGCCAGATGCATACTGCAGCTTGTACACACATACACAGCCAGAGTTTCCAGCTTGCAAGAAAAGATCTATCAAAAATTATTGTAGTTCAAATCAGTCTGTCTATATGACACATCTACTTTGACAAAAGATGCAGAGACCCATCTCACTAATGTGTTCTGGAAGATGGGATGTGCATGAATGAATGACATTGACATTTATTCGAGGTAGAAAGTAAGAAAATATATTTTTCTGCAGTGACAATATATTGATGGCAAAAGTAATCCAAGAGGCTCTAAAAAGCAATTTAAAGAATAATAAAAATAATCAATAAAAGGCAATTTAAAAGAAATACAGCAAAAGCATGACTTGCTAGTATAGCTACATCCTATTATTATTTATTTAGGCTCCCTCTGAAAGAATGGGCCTCTGATATATTCAAATAAAAAACACCTCAGGCTTGAAAATATTTCTGGTAGCATTAAAGACCTTACATTTAAAAGGCATCTAAAAAACTCATTCTCTTTGAAGGGATGTAAATATGAGTTCAGGAAACACAGACTAAAGGATGACAGAAAAAACCGCCTCGTGCCTCTGATTTTCCCAGCAGGAGGAGACAGAAGAGCAGAAGGCGACAGAAGAGCAGAAGGCATGGCCTGCACTGCTGCACAGCCTCTTCCCCAAAAACCAACAGAAGATAGCCAAAGAAACGTAGCATCACAAAAATAACCCAAACTATTGTCTATATCTCATGTATGCAATACAAGATGTTTCTGTATTGCCTGTATGAGCAGACCAGCTGTAGGTCATGCAGCTAAATTAGTATTTGAGGCTTGCTGCATGCATCTGTGAACTTCACAGAAAACCCCAGCTGGGTCTCACTCAGCTCCAGTCACCGAGGTATGTCCTGACGTGAAACCAAGGTACTGAACAAGTTACCATGGCAGGTAATGCTATAGCATTTCTAGTTAAAAACTTGGGTTTTTTTCCTACTGAAGGACATACCTCAAGAACTGCAGGTATACAGTTGGCTAGGTCAGGCTATTCCTTTCAACACCTCTCATTCATTTTGGTATAGCCCCTGTAAGTAAGGAATGAGGGTAAAGCAGATAAAGTGGACAAGAGGAGGAAAGAGCAAGAGCAAAGGAGATAAAGAGGACAGAAGGAGCAAAGGGGAAAAAGAGAGAGAAAGAACTGTATCAGTAATTGCTGGTGCTGTCTGTACTGCTGACAGCATGGATGCACCTACTCCACTGCATGAAAGGAGAAAGGTTACGCAGTGCTCACACATTCACAATAGTTCACAGTTGCTCACAGGATTAGTTACAACTAAGGGGCATTGTAAAAAGCTGGGTTTTGTGCCTCACTACCTTTAAAAACGTCTATGCCACCTCCTTCCCTCTGTGAACACAAGGTTAACTTTACACCCTTCCGGGGACAGCCGGCAGCAGCGCACGGGCCAGGCTGCAGCTGCTGGAGCGAGCGTAGCCAGGGACCACTGCTCCAGCACGGCCCACGGGACACGGGCAGGGACCCGGGGCAGGGACATACACACGCCAGCCATAGCCAGGTTTTGTTTATTTAGTCTCCCTGGGAAGAGAGGACACTTCACTCTAGGACAGGAAAGACTGTGATGAACTTTTCCCCTTATCAACAAAGAGAGAGTATTAGATCAGGCACACAGCGCATCCCTGAACAGGCAACGGGAAAGAATGTGTTACTTTCAAGAGTACCTCCTGCCTTTTTCTTTCTTCCTGGCTGATTGCTTCTGATAATCCATTCTTCTTTACCTAAAAAATAAATTGAATTTTTTAAGATCTTTTGTTGAAAATTGTGACTTTTTTTTTTTTTTAAAATACTGGACTACCAAAACATTGCACTAAGAATTCAGCCAAAGCATCTGTCCACTTACAAAGACAACAATGAACCACCAGAAATTAAAAAAAAAAAGTCAGTAACATCTGTCATTTGACTTATCAAAAGAACAATTTCATTAAAAACTATCCCAAGACACAAACACAGAACTACTGCTGCAAAGGCATGCACAGCTGAATCACAGTCACCCTGCACAACCTCTCTAGATTTTACACACACAGAAGCAGGGAAACTGCTTTCTCCTTTTAAGTTACATTTCTTGGCTGACACATGTACATCGTGAGGTTTGTTTTCTGAGTAGACCTGAAAAAAATCTTAGTGCTTTCATTTGTTAAGCCCACCTAAAATCATAGACAAACTACTAGACAGGTAGTTTGTTGGCCAAAAAACCGTTCAGGAGGAGTCCCAGCTGTATCCTAACCAGACATGCAAAGCCCTGAGTAAACAGCCAGTATTTCTACCCTCAACCCTACCATGACGTGTCTCCCCACCGCACCCTACAGCCCCATCTGCCAGGAGCTGGGGCAACCTTCTCCATACACAACCACCACAAACTCCAGCCACAGCCACATCTTCCACAGCCTCAAGCCACATGCTCAGCCATCAAACTCCACACCAGAGCCCCCTGAGGTTTATTCTTTCCTGATGCAAACCACACACATTATGACATGTGCAAGAGAACATAAAAAAAACAAAACAGAGTCAAAAAGTAAAGCACCAAGGAGGGGCTGACATTATGCATTTCCTAGAGAGCGTTACGCACGGGACCTTAGATGAGGAGGGTGTCTGTGTACAGCACTGCACATGTGAAAGATGCTGCTGTCTTCATGCAGCAGTAAATGTCACAGGACATGAGGCATAACAGATGCACCTCCACTCTCCCTTTCAGTCTTCTCCAAAAGCTCCTGTCATCAACAGCTTTCCTGTCTACTCCCCTTGTTGCCTGGAATTTTTAAGGATGTATGATTCCTTATTTTATTCCTACACACCAGGCACCACAAACCTGGGCAGCAGGTTCAAGAGTAAAGATGACACAACATTAAGAAGTGCCACACTTTGTTTTGTGTGCATGTTGAAGTATATACACCCATGTAGGTAATTATAAAAATAACAAATATTCGAGTGTTTGAGCAATTGTTCTTTTGAACTCAAATTGCAGATTCCTGGGTCCCACAAGCACACACTTCTGCACACTGAGCGAGAGCTAATTAGACACCTTTCTATTACAGTACCTTCCGATCAACAACCTGAAAGCTTTTGGCACTTTTTGCTAGGTCCAGTGAAGACTTTTCTAAAAATATGCCGACACAGGAAATACCTATGAACATATCCAAGAGATTTCAATGCTTCCTGTTAATGCAGCAACTGCAGATTTCCAGTGAGGTCAATGCGGCAACTGCTCTATTCACATTCAGAAAACTGTAGCTGTGTTCCGTGACCTTTGTTTTGTCAGACGGGTGTGTACATACGAAGTACATATATAAATCCATCACATAAGCAAATGGCTCAACCTGCTTAATTAACGGCAACAATTCCAAGAGTAAGAGGTCCAAAAATGGACACTATTTTTGGCATACTCTGTGAAAGAAAATTCAATTCCTATTTCTGAGGTGCTCAAATGTTTCAGCTGAAACAGCCTGAAAATCATATTTGTGATACTATGCAAACAAACACTTAGCGTAAGCTAAGAACATAGACAGAAAGACTGGAAAAGGCCCAACACTACAGCTAACATCATCTTATTGTCCCACTGGACTGCTCAGTTATGACCGATTCAACCACGGAGACGTGGAGGGAAGGATGAAAGAACAACAGGTTAACTCTGTGGTTATGTACAAGTAGTTCCTCCAAAATCCGGAGGTGCTACAACAGGGAAACTCACCAGAAATATTTAATATAGTAAGTGTCTGCACCACAAACCAAACTGAACATAATGCAGAGCCTTGAAGATCTTTGACAGTAAAACCTGGTAAGTTTTGTTTAATACCTCAGAGAAGAGGCAGCCATGGGAAGGCAACAGCGTTAAGTGGCTTGGGAAAGTAACTTATGAGCAACATTTTAAACAAACGAGAAAAATCACAACCACATTTATCCCAAGATGATCAGAAAAATGAAACACAAGATGACCAAAGCTTGAGAAGACTTTTGGGTTAGAGACAACAGTTGAGAGAACATCCAAAATCCCGATGCAGAACTACATAAATACACTGAACCTACTGGGCATGAAATGGAGGACTGGATGCGAAAACACCCATTTGATGTTAAATACTTCAATAATTATGAGCATTACTCGTGCTACAGGACGTATGTTTCCAGCACTACATCTCAAGAATATTTATAAGAACCACAGCAGCATTGACAGTAGTAATGAAAAGTGACCATGCACCATATTGTCCAGCCTGGACAGCAAGGAAAAACAGACATTCAGCAGAATCACAGACTGGGGTAGGTTGGAAGGGACCTTAAAGCTCATCCACTGCCACCCCCCTGCCACGAGCTGGTACACCTTCCACTAGCCCAAAGCCCTGTCCAACCTGACCGTAAATTCAAATTCCACCAGTCAGATGCAGTGGCCAAACTCTGCAACAGGTTTGCCCAGGGAGGGGTGAGGTCTCCACCCGTGGAGATGTTAAAAGCCTGACTGGACACAGTCCTGCACAGCTCTAACTGACCCTCCTGGTGCAGCAGAGGTTGGACAAGATGATCTTAAGAGGTCCCTTCCAACCCAACCGAAGCTGCGATTCTTTGCATGCAGAATAACACACATTACCATTATCCACACCAACTGAATGCTGCATTTGTTGGGAAGTAAATACATTTACTAGGAGCACACAAGGTAGTAAGTAACACTGCCTATGATCTCCTGGAAATCCTTCAAAAATATCAAAAGATACTTTTGGAATACATTCTGGAAATAATGGCTTTTCTCCTTAAATTAGAACTTTTAAATTAACTGATGAAGGTTGGAAGGAACAGAGATAGTAGATAAGGGAGCTCTTTACCTAGTCACCTGATTAGCTACTGCTGGCTGTCTAATCTCTAGCAGAAACCTGAGAGGAATGTCAAAGGAACTGCATTTAAACAGGACCCTATTTCAGAGGCTTTAAATGTTCTCTGAAAAGCTCTTAGTTTCACATGTGTGCGTACACTGCAGAAAGACAGAAACACTCTTCTTTCTTTTTTTTTTTTTAAACTATTATCATAAAGGACTTGACAACTCCACGCACGAAGGTTGCGCTGCCCTCCCCAAACCGGAGGCCTGATCCGAACCACATCAGTGGTCAAGCCCGTACGGCCAAAGGAACACCCTGCAGAGAGAGGGGACGGTCCTGCTGCCTTCCCCGCGATCTCCTCGCACAGTCATTGCTAACAAATACCATAAACATATTAGTCTCCTTCTTCCCTTATGTCTGCTGAAACCCAACGCTTTGACATTTTCCAGCCGACTTCCTGTTACAATTCCACATTCACTTTTTAATACACACTGACAGCGTGTAATTTTTCCAGAGAGTTATAAACACAGACACTATGAGATTGAGTCCCGTATTTTGTTGTCACAGCGCTCTACCTTCTCTCACACACTCACTTCCAAACTCGTAAATCAAGTAAAGACACTGAACAAGTTTGCTGTGTTAGAAATCGTAAAGAACAAGTTGGTTTATGTAACTGTAGCACGGCACAGGAATGGTTCTCTGAGATGATCTTCATGCTATTTTGGCCTTACAATAAATCAGTATTTTTGAAATTATTATTATTACTGAATAGCATTCCTTCCAAAATACCTCAGCTGGTGAGCATTTAACTGCTAGTTTGCCTAGAAGGCAGAAAAAAACCTGATTTGACTTCATTGTAAACAAACTTTTTTGTAACATTAAGCAAATTAAGTACATTTAAAGCACTTGATTTGTTGAAAAGAAGATTTAAAGCAAATCTTTTCAAAACCACATTGTCTTGCCTTCTTTATAATTACTGAATCAGAGGGATTCATGTTTCAATATGTTAAACTGCAAAAGGTCATCAACATCTGTAAGACAGCTCTTCTAAAAAGACAATCTGAACAGCCTTAGAAGATCTTCCTGAGGCTTAATAACTAATTTACATAGGATATACACAGCCAGCGGCCCAACTGACAAATATTCCAGGCGATCACATCATGTAATACTCTTTTATGCCACACACAGAGATGAGGTTCCACAACGTTTTACAAATTACACAAACAAAACCCAAAAATCCCCCAAACTTTCCAGAAGCTACAGAAACGATCAAAGAATAAAATTAACCACAGAAAGACAGAATTTTTAGAGTTTCTGTAGTCTCAAAGCCTTTCTCAATGAGAGCCTGTAGCTATCATTATATGAATTATATCAATTGATCAATTATATCAAGAAATATCAATTAGTATCGTTAATTTGCCAGTTTATTAGCAGGGAAGCTAGCAAGATTACAGTACTGATTAAAACAGCTGAATTCTACTTTGTTTAACGATGTTACTAAGAAAAAGCCAGTGCAGATGCTTCCCAGACTGTGCTAAGGATAGCAGATTACCACCATCTGAACACTCAGCTTTTTTAAAATGGTTTACATTAAATAGATGCAATCAAATCAACTTGGAGTTGGCTTGCAGCAATTTAGAACAATTCAGCTGAAATATGTTTGTAACTGAAGCTTTTCTTTAGTATAATTCACCCTTTTTGGTGAATTCACACAAATGTGCTTTTTTTTTTTTTAAACAAATCACTAAAGTTGTCTGTTTGCCAAACACAGGACCCTAAAAAGAACCTTCTCAATTATATTGCTTTTTATGTAAAACAAAGACCAGTAGTTGATCAGCACTTCAATGTTGTTATTATGAAATAAAAACAAAGTTTAGAAAAAAAAGAACAGGACTAAATTCTGTTTAAGGTTTGGTCCACACCACTCCAATTTACTGGAAGGATCTACAAAGCACAGATTTGACTCTGAATTTACATGCTGTTGGGAGTTAAACTGTCTTTTTAGGCTTTCTGACAGTGCTCCATCCAGAAGAGCCAGCTACAGTACCACACTGGTGTAGCCATGACTCCTCGCGCAGGCAAGGCCGAAGCAGCTCGCTCTAGTGACCATGAGGTACAAACTCGGGGTCTGAAATTCCGTATGCAAAACCAGGCACGTTTGATTTTTTTGGTTGTTGTTCAGCAGAGTTTAAAAAGAAAAAAAATAACAGAAATATATCTTAAAGTTTAGAATTATGAAATATTAATTCCTTTGCATATCAAAGTTGTATTTAATTACATCTTAAAACTACACTGACTTCCTTGGTAACTCCAAAGCACATACTCCAACCAGCAGCCTGTTGCGCAGCCACAGGAGCCTACAAACACTGGCACTAGAAAAAGGGAGGTGTCAGGGAACCAGGGAAACAGATTCCAGCAAGAGCATCAGCCCATACCTACTAAAACTGACTGAGAAAACACGATTTATGCTTGAAGCTGTTGGAGTTACCCTACATGAAGCCTAAACAAAAGCTAAACTGAAAGCTCCGAACTTGGATTACTAAGAGCTAAATAACTGCAAACTTGTTGATTAAAAAAAAAATATTTGGAGACACCTTCTATTTTGGAAGGGAAAAGAAGAGAACAAACCTCAGCCAAGAATTCCAGTGGCAAGTAAAAAGATTTCTTTCAATACATGCTTAGATACTCTGTCTGGCTCTACAATGATCAAATACTCACAATGGACAGCTGACTCCACGTTGATCTCAGGGGCTTATAGTGAAAAACAACCTTTTCATCCAATTTCTGCTCTCGGGGCTCAGACTCTTCATCAGAATCTATGTCCAGAGCTTTTTCTTTATAGTTCTGATATAATACAGCGTTTTCTATAAAACAACAACAGGATGTCATTAATTGCTAGAAAGTTAGCTTAGTTGCTTTCATAACAATTGTAAGTAACATTTAAACAATGAAAGAAACCGAAATGCCAATGTGCCGTTCGCAAACTCTGAGACAAAGATCGTATCTTATTTAGGATGGACAATGGTGCAGTACAGTAACAATGGATCACTGTACCACTACCAAAAAGATCCATGCTGACTGAATTAAAGAACAGATGTGTCCTTTGTCAAGAGAAAAAAAAAAACAGAAAACAATTTTTTCTTCCTTGGTTTGCTGTACAATGTTTCATATTTAGCCAGCAATTTAAGAACGGAACAAGCGTGTCGGTAGAGCAGCGCCTCTAATCTGGAGGTCTAGCTACTTTAATCTGCAAGACCACTGCAAATCCCCTACCCATGCCAACTTCTATTCTGTCAGCTTTAAATACTGTCTTTGCACTGCACTAAGAGAAGGAAATAATCCAAATTTCAGAAATTTGAGGTCAGAACCATTCCAAATAGAATCTTCAAAGCTTGACTGAATAAGCGTGAGGCCTATGAACCTTAAGACAAAAATACCCTCGTTCTGTATTTCAGTGCTGCCAGTATTCATTCGGGAATATCAACAGCAAAGAAACACCGGTGTGGAGCGTAGCATTTCCACCTCCCAACCTCCTCGACCACACACCCTTTTCAAAAGCCGACAGAAAAGGACAGAGAAATTCAAGACCAGAATAACCTACAGACGGATTAAGCTGTCAAGAAAGCAAGTTCTAAACGGTACTTTAGAGATGGGCCAGGCTTTGGACAAGATCCAATCTTCCCCTACAAGAGAAAGGGGAAAGAAGTGAAAGGTCTGGTTGCCCCACACACAGCTGCAACTGCTGAGGTCCCTCACGGGGCTGGGTGGATCTGTTCCACCTGCTGGGACCGTACAGCCCTGGCTGAGCATTACACACGGTCTGGCCTCTATTTGCTCTCTGGAATGTGTCTATATAGTTTATACACTTTTAAGACAGGAAATTGTGTCCAGCAACTGAATTGAGAGGCATTACAGAGAAAGTTATTAACTGGGATCAATCCAAGATACAAGGGAGCCACTGCAAAATAATCTGGAAAACATCATCAAGAGATCGTGTTAGAAAAGATGAAAATAAAAGTAAAATAGGGGTGATGCAAACAGAACAAAGTGGGACATTTGGAAAAGAAAAATAAGGGGGAGAGGAAGGTAACACAGCAGCCGAGACGACCTTAAGGAGGCATTAAGCAGAGAAAAGCCAAGAGAGTAGCAGTTACTATAATGAAGCTTCCATGGACTCACAGCCAGAGTGATTTTTTTATTGTTGTTGAAACATTGGGAAAAGCAGCAAACCTGGCAAAGCCCATAATTAATCAGTAACATTAAAAAGCAGATACACAGACAGGTTTTTCTGACACTTAAACTTGAGGCCTAGGTAGCAAGAGAAGGATTAAAGTCAAAAGATTCACCCCAGCACCCTTGCCTTATGAGGAAAAGAGAAACAGCTGTGCAAACCATGAACTCAGAGAATAACAATTCAGGTGTCTGCTGCACGTGATGACCCAAAGCCCTAAAGTGATAATCAAAAGTTATGTCCTGCACCTGGGGAGAGTGAGGGGAGTGGGCAGGAAGGCAGCCCCAGCTGGAGGAACAAGCCTCCTCTAGGTAATTCTGCAGAACTGCTAGGGCTGAGAGACACAGGGGCCAGTTCAGCTTTCAGGAGGGACAGGAGTTCAAGCTGAAAACAAGCCTTTCAAAAAACAAAACAAACCCCATATTTTTAGTCTGCCATTCTATATTCGTTAAAATATTTCCTCAAGTATGTCTAGTGCCAAAATTATGGTTCCATATTTTAGTCCATTTACTGAAACACAAGGTACTTAGACTGCGTGCAAAAGTGTGCAAAGTGATCCTGAAGTTCATTTCTCTTGTGACTGAGCATATTATCAAGTCTGTGCAGAAAAGGGCTTACCTTCCCCATCAAACGTCCCTTGTCCTTTCAGCATTTTCTTCTGATAATTTCAATAGGAAAGAGATATATACACATTAAAAGGAGAATGAGAAATAACCAACAGTAACAAGAACTTCTGTTCTATTTGATACTTAGGCACCAAATTAACAGGCCTTCATCTATAAACTTCTGATGTCAGACAAGTATTCATGAAAACAATTGTTTCATCACAGAAAGTGAAAAGCTACTCTAGTTTTCCTTCTCTCGTGGGCTGTTTATATGTGTCTGTCCCAAATGCTTCATTTCTTCCTACATTTCAAAAGCACAGTACAGGAGCTTTACAAGAGTTCAGTGAACTTGTAACTCGCGTGCTGTCACTGGGCTTTCCTGGGAGGACCTAAGGCACAGGACTGAGCGGCTGGTCTCTTCCCACACACTCTGCGAAGAACCACCACAGTAAGTATTCTGTAAACTAATGTTTTGAGACCAAAACAAACCTTTGAAATAAAACAGCTGTTTTGGTGCAACAAGTCACGGGGTCTAAGCAGTCTTTTTAGAAAAATGCTACTAGCAACAAGAGTTCTGTGTGTAAAGACAGGACAATGTCGTGTCCTCCTATTTTAAACATAACTTACTGTTAAAATCTACTACCAAAAAAAAACAAGCCACCTCCCTACTCAGCAGTTCACAGTTTGATCCATTACTATTTCACTACTTGTAGCATTTTCACAAAAGCTTCCATAACCATAGTTTTTAATTTGGCTAAAAATTGCCATAAAGCTGGTAATTATTTTAATAGCTACGGCATTAGCTCTGAGCCTTAAGTACTTTATTACACAGTTCCAAACACCCCGCAGAAACCATACCTAGTGTATTTTTTAAAAAGTAACAAATTGCATTTTAAAAGAAGGGAATACAAGATTACAATATGGTATGTTCAAATAAAATATTGTTTTCAGTAAGTCTTTATAACTTAATTTTCACACATTAACATTCAATATAGATCTAGTATTCCTAAGGGATTACAACCAAGAATTAAAAACAAGCATTCTGCTTTTACTCGCAGGCATTAAAACTAAGCTACAAGAAGATACCTGAAGTGGTCTCTAACAATTCAAAAATCACACTTCGATATTTAAAAATACTTTAAAAGTAACGTCTTGGATAGAGGACTAAGGGGGGGAAGTTCATTTTTGTGTCAGTCTGTCTACTCTAGCAGGCAGACTTTATTAAGTCAATGTCTCTTTTTTTCCTGTTTACTACCTTCTAGGAAACAGGTTTTAAAACGTCAGTTTTATTGTGAAAGTAAGCCTGGGGAATCCAGCAGGAAATGCAAGTACAAGGCTGCCATCAACACATTTCTGAGCTGCCCAGATTTCAACAGAATCGGGTCCCTGAAGCCTCCTTTGGAAACATTGCTTGGAAGTAATCTGTGAGGCTCATCACGAACTACGAAAAGTTTTGTGGCACCAAAAGGCAAACTGAAAAAACGCAGCGTTTACAGAAAACACAGAGATTGCAAACCATGCTCCTGCGTAGCCTACGCCATTCAAACCAGCATGTCACCGAGCAGCACAACTTACCTTTATCCTCCCCAGGCTTGAAAATTTTTCTTTATCTTCAACAACTGCTTTAAGTACGGGCTGGGACATTCTGTTCTTCTTCTTAAAATTAGAAGAGCTGTCAAAGTCCACGCCGCTCACCACGGCTCTGCGGTAGGACGTCGACCTCAGGCCACGCCGCAGGGTCCCCGGGCTGTCCAGGTCGCCCTCGGCCTCCTCCTCGGCATCGGCTACCAGAGGCACGCTGAGGCTCTCCACCATGCTGCGGACCTTCAGCACCCTCTTGCTCGTCTCCGCGCCCTGGCCTTTGCCCGTCACCTTTATTTCGGACGCCAGGCTCTTGGGGATGATCTGCTGCGTGCCCACTTTGAGAGCGGCGGGGCTGTTGGTGCTGAGGACCACGGGCTGGTCCGGGGGGGACGCCGGCTTCTGGGGAGGTACATCTTGCTCCGGGGGCATCGCCCGCGCGACCCCGGGGGACGCCGGTGGCACTTCTGCTGCTGTTCTGGAGAGGCGGCTGCTTTGCGAGGGCAGCGCTGCCACGTTGCTGCTACCGGAGGACGGCGAGGGCTGAGGGCTGGCCGCGAAAACAATCTGTTCTTGCTGCGGGGCGAGCGCCGCGGGACTGGCGATCCTCCCGGGATGACCCAGCTGCCCTCCTGGGGAGGCGAGGGTGCCGTTGGCTGTGAAAGCCACGGGGCTGCTGGCCACCAGCGCGAGCGCCCGGGAGGGCCGCTCAGGGGAGACGGCTCTGCGGGCGGGAGGCCTCACCGCCCCGTTGGCCACCGAGCCCATGCCGGAGCTGAAGCAG